TTCTAGAAGCTTTAATTTTCTTTTCTTGGTTTAGAGCATGAGTGATTATAGACAATGCAATTTGTGGCTGTTTGCGGAGTCTCAGAGTTGCGTTTGTTGGACTGCCATCAGAACTAAGTGATCTCGAGTTGGATAACATAGGATGGTGAATACACAATATCCTGACTAAATTATTTCCCCATTTTATGAATTCCTTATCCCTAACTATCACCTTTTGAGCCCATTGTACTCCTTTTTAAATTCCTGATGATTCAATGATTATTATCTCCTCTATGTTCTATGTGAAAAAATCATTACCTCCATTAGTTATGGTGATTAACTTTTATCTTATGAGGTAATTAGTTTAAAAGTACAAACTACTCTATTAAGATAACTATCTTTAAATCAAATTATTATTGATATACTTAAGCAAATTAAAATACATGCATAATTATCAATAATTGAGTCACTTGAGGGATTCCTTTAGTGTAATTAACCTTAGAAGGCCAGGCCTAGTCCTTTTGGTAGACAGGTCAACACAAAATCTCAATTTGACTTGACATGACTTAACTTGAAGTTGATGATTATCGTTATGTATTTTACACAAATTTAGATAAGAATTTTTCTTGATATCTTACTAGATTTTTTTCATGTCTCTTTCTATGGAATCTCCAATATGTGTGAACAACCTTATATCAAGATCATTTTCCACTCCAATAGCTGCATAAGTGAGTTTTATGTTTGTGATTAGAGGTGTAAACAAGCCGAACTTGAGCGAGCCTAACATCTGTTCGTGTTTGGCTCTTTCCCAATTTCTTCAGCTTGTGTTCAACTCGTGTTTGATTAAGCTCGTGATTATAAAATTTGTGTTTGGCTCGAACTGTGTTCGAATCAGCTTGAGTTTAGCTCGTTAGCTCGAAACGAGCCGTAAAGCTAATAGGCATAGGCAGAGGCCCACGGTCCACTACCAAGCGGAACTCAATTTTGCGATTGATCTCCTTTTAAACTGCAATGGGTGAAGCCAATCACGTAATCTTCTGATGTGGGACTATATTGCGGAAGGTGGATTTGTTTTTTTATTATTATTATTATTATTTCTAAAGGCATACAACCCAATTCTTATACAAGTTGGAAATTAGCCAGACGGGAGTGCATGGGATCACAAACGATAATGCACAGGACCAAAAGAGCTTATAGGCATTTACAACATACCATCCAATTCTTATGTATTTACATATAGATACCACCAAATTCTAAGTATTTACATATCAAAACCTAAATGCAGAAAATACACCAACCAAAGCTGGATTTGGAGAACTCTAGGAACATTTACATACATACCACCCAATTTTTATGTATTCACATATTAACATCAAAATTTTGTTTTTATATTTATATAAAATATAATATATATATTAATTAATTCGAGCCTAAACGAGCCGAACACAAGCAAGCAAAACTTTGTTCGTGTTCGGCTCGTTTGCTTGACGAATGAGCCGAACACAAGCTATTCGCGAACAACGAGTTTTTTGACAGCCTTATTTGTGATGTGTTTTTAGACATACTCTATGCATCTTACAGATTAGAAATTTCTATGCTCTAATATCAGGAGAAGTTGGAGAAATATTTTTATGGCTTAAGGACATTTTTTAGATACAATTAATACAAATTGATATAAAGATGAATTGATTTGATGTCAATCTGATGATAGATGATGGACCCTTGTCATACTTTTCCAGATTAATCCTCCTCTTCTTTTTTCCTGCTTTTGAATGTTGTTCGTTTCACCCCTTAAATGAAAAGGATACAGAAGAAGAGGAATTGTAAAGAGAAACAAAACAATGAGTTGGTTCTATTAATAAGAAGGAGCTCCACGTTGCTTATGAATGAGAGAAGCAATGTAAGTTGCAAAAGGAGAAGAGAGACAGAGAGAGAGAGAGGAAGCAAAAATAGAGAGTGATATGAAGTAGCCAGTTAAGAAAATCCATAAAGAGGGACGGGAATGTAATTTTCAAATTCAATGCATTTATAATTCAATAATCGAAATAACATTCTTTCAACCTATTTATAGAAATAAACTTAACAAGAAAATAGTAGATAATTTGAATTTAAATATAGATAATTCCCAAAAATAAAATCATCTATTTAAAATAAAAATAATATCAAAATTAAATAGAATAAAGCTGAACTAAAATATTAAATAAATGTAAATTTACTAGAAATTTCTAGAAAATGCAAAAATATTTTTTATGCCTGTTCTAGGCCAAGTTAGAAGTGTATTCTAACAAATTAAAATTGTGACATGTCTAGTTTTTGAAAAGGAAAACAACTAAAAAGCATTACCAAACCATGCATTAGGCTTTGTTTGGGGCAACAGTGCCCTTTTTTGTGATTGCGTTAAGTTGCCTTTCACATAGTTAAATGAACTGTTCCATGAGGTTGTTCCCCATACTGAGTCATAAAAAAGAAGCAATAAGAGTATTTGAGACAACTTTCAAACGAAACCAACACCTTTTTTTCTATAAAAAAAAGGGTAACTAGAGGAAAATTTACCAAAATGAAGCCTTGGTTTCATCTATGAAAGTTCATGCATTTCTTTTTCTCAATTTTTTCTATATTGACAAATAAAGACTAATTTTTCTCATTCTGCAATATCATCCATTGAAAAAAGATGATTTATCTTTTGGCAAGTTGGGTGTTTTCATTCTCATCATTGCAAAACTGTAATTTCAAATACATCTGGAATATGAGATGCTACAAAGAACAGAACACCACTTGTTACTTTCACAGTGCATTATACGTTGCCAAGTTCAATCCCTCTAGTTACACTAGCCTATTTCAGATGAATAGAGATTGAATGGTTATGAATTGTAGTCTTTGTGATGCTAGACAAACCCAAATGGTATGAATTCTTAGGGCTCGTCATGTTTCCATGCACAGAAACTAGATTAGTCAGAACTATTATGATATAAGTGAAGCTTCTTGAAATTGATGGCATTAGTACTCATTAAACACAAACAATTTTTGCAATTGAGCAGTAACTTATCTGATCAGCACATAACATTCTAACTACAGAAAAAATAAGATATAGGAGAACAGCTTCTCATGAAAAATCAGATCAAAGCCTCTATCTATCCATATGAAGCGAAGTGAAAAGCCAAATGGAAACCGTAAAATGTAAAATAATGTGAAAAGTATTGTTACCAATTGAACACAGATATAATCCAAAAATAATTTATAGTAATCACAATCTTAATTAGTGAATAGTGTGGAGTAGAACAATATTTTAGTAACAAAAGCATGACAGTTTTTCAGGTGCAACACTATATGTTAAATGCAAAATTGAATATCTAGAGTTGAATTAGGATCAGTGTGACATACTATAAGTCATGAAAATATCAAAAAATGAATTATATCCCATTAAAAGGAACATTTTCAAATATAGTTAAGTTCAAGTACAAGGAAAGCACGGGTTAAATTTCTCTTATGCTTACATTCCTTCCTTTTATAGTAGTTAGAAACATCGGGCATGTGATGGATGTGAAACACTATAAATCTTCAGAACAGATATCTGAAAAGCACACATGAACAGTTTTGATAAAAATTAAACTAAGGATTGATTATATATGCTGATATGGAGACACTGTTCTCTCTCGTCCCTTCCGCAGCTCCAATAGATATGCAAAGCTAATGGATAACTGCAATTTCAATCTATATACATTTTAGTAAAAATGGACAAACGAGAATGTAAAGCATGTGAAAATGTTGGGCCTATTCCCATATTAGATAGAACAAATGCCATGTGGTGGCTGGCAATAGTGATTGGCACTCAACAATCGATCATACATGCTTACAAACTGTGTTACCTGCAATCGTACCATGTTGTCTCTCCTTCATACCTCCTTTCCAACTCCTCCCAGCCACCTCACCGGCCGCTACCGACTCCTACTTTCCATCCCTACAGTTTTGCACCTCCACCTTGTTGCCACCAACATCCCTTGGTTGTCATCATCCCTTCCAATCATCCCTACCCCTCTAGCCGGCCTCCAACACCCATTGGGATACATCTTAGAGGCGTTTTCTTGTGTCATTTATGTTTTGTGTTGTTGCATCTGGTTGCGTTGTGTTGTAACCCTATTTCTCTACTAATAAAAGTTTGTTTGTGTTCCCACCACTTTTTCTAATTAATCTGGTATCATGGAGTCAGTGAAAGAATTAGTTTAAATGCACGGAATGGCGCGATCATGAATCTTTGGATTATAATGGGAGGCAAAGTGACTGACGATGGTAAAGTGGGAAGGCTCCCAATTTATATAGCAACTGTGAGCTCTGGTGACTTCACGGAAGAAATTGAGCAAGGAAATGAACATTTGAGTTTTGCGATGTAGAAGAAGTTCAAGAAATAGGGAAGTTCTGATGTCATGAAAAATCTTGAATTTTGCGAAGATCTCTCTCAATGCGGTTCCTCATGGAATACAAAGTTCACGTTAAGATGGAGCCTCCAAATTGAATCTAACTATATCGATCAAAGAGGGGATGGTATTCGGGAAGACATGGTGGATTGAGGAAGATGCAACATATTTGGGATGGTACTCATTTAATCATATTCGAGAATAAGTAAAAAGCAGATGCCAGCAATGACCTAAGACAACAATTAAATCAATGTTAGGAACTCGATCCAAATAAAGCAATTTGAACTTCCAAGCTCCTAGAAAACAAAAATAAAAACATAGATAAAAAAGGGGAAACCAACTCATTAATCATTAAATGATCCCTCTTCCCCCAAATAGAATGTTTATAGAAATACAGTCTAACTAACTACCATACTTATTAACATGAATTACAAGAATGATCCAGATGCTAATCATAGACTAACAACATACTATCAGCTTATAAGTATCATCACTTTTGTGGATTCACAACCAAATGTCATTCCAACAATAAGCAGCAAAATAATCCAAACGTTCCAAAAGAAAGCAGCCCAATCAAGCTAAAAGGGGACAACAAATCAACAGGCTCACCATCAGACTCAAGGCAGATGCGGCAGCACGCTTGAGAGGCCGCTTCGATATCCTCATCATTTATATCATCAGAGCTCCCCTCAGAGAGCGTGGCCTGATTCTCAAGTAGTGGATCGGAATCGTTAGTACAATTCCGCCCATCATGTTCCATGTCAGTCTCCTCCTTCATCAAACCCCTAAGCGACGTATAACAAAACCATCAAGCACACCAACTACAAAGAAAATCGGTAAGAAAGAGTATTTAATGAAACGGAAACCTCAGAAGATCCGATTCTTCGAAGCAGCTGTACAAGAGATATAGAACACGGTGGCCTACCACGGATTCAAACCCTCCGTAGATCGATGGCAAGGAAAGTCGAGATTTTTCTCTGTTTAAAAAGCGAGAGACGACGTGAGCTAGTGAGAAAGGTGGCTCGTGAAGACTACCGGACCGGCGAGTTGAGCCCGCACACCGTAGCGGTTATGCTAACCTGCAACGCGGTAAGCAAGATTAAATACATAAGTTATGAAGGATAAGAGATTATAAAATATGAAGGATAAGTCATTATAAAACAAAATAAGAATATATCTTGGAGATGATAAATTTTAGGGATAGTTACATACATAGCTTCTGAATATTATTATTTATAAAATTAGCATCCATGTATGATATTTTTGAACTATCAAACCGATGTATTTATACGTGGGACGATCAAACTATAGAAAGTTTGATAAAAATAAAAAATATGGGTTGAGGTTTTATTACGTATTTAAACAGACTTTCACTCTCCATCGGAGAGTGACCAAAACTTGAAATTGGAGAATGTTTGGAAACTTGAAGAACTTTAAAGTTTTGTTTGATGATCAACGTTGATGACCAACTTCTCTAACAACAATTATCATTTGCCAACTTCATTCAGCCACTGTCATTTGATCATTATCTAATCAACGTGAGTGATTGTTGTCATCCATTTATTATTGTATGGCCACCATGACACTTCCATCATAGCTGAATCACTATTATCTTATCATTGTTGTTTGACCATTAATATCTGATCATATCATCCAACCACTATCGACTTGTCATCATGACTCATTCAATGAACTAACTAATATTGTCCAACAATGATCTTCATTCGATCATAATTACTGGTTTGCCGTGAACCAATAGCTATGATTCAATTAACATCATCACTCAAGTCTCAAACAGATAAAACACTAAAAATATTAAGAGGATTTACATTCATGACATAAAAAAAATCTTATTTATATTGAACATTTAAACTATTATTTATCCACTATCGACTTGTCATCATTACTCATTCATTGTTAACTAACTAATATTGTCCAACAATGATCTTCATTTGATCATCATTACTGGTTTGTCGTGAACCAATAGCTATCATTTAATTAACATCATCACTCAAGTCTCAAGCAGACAAAACACTAAAAAATTAATAGGATTTACATGCATGACTATAAAAAAAAAATATCTTATTTATATTGAACATTTAAACTATTATTTATGTAGCCAATGACTTTGTTAATCTCATCATATGGATTTCATGATGAGATGATTTTATTGAGTAAGGTCATCAAAAAATTGCTGGCGTGTGGAGTTCGTCACTAATAAGAAGATGAGAGGAAGTAGTTATGAGATATCATCGGAAGAATACTATTAATGGGACAACAAGGTGTGTAAGTCTTGAACTCATGATGATAAAGAAGATGACATGAAGTCATCACAACACTATCTTAATGGGAAACGCCATCAATATGATGGATTGTGTTCAACAGTCTCAAAACCCTCGTTGTTAAAAAAGTGTTGAGGAAGTAGCCAAGTTGGGCAAAGGAATTGAGAAAGTTAACTAGAAGGTGATATTCTTTTGTTAATTAAGAGAATTGAATGCTTTTTAAGCCAAAAAGTTTAGGTGTTATATTGAAAAATTAGATAATTTGGAGTGTAATATATGTAATTCATCTTATAAAGTATGTTATTAGGCATTCATAAGCATAATTATGATAAAAAGTAGTGTGAATATAAAATAATTAGTTCTATAGCCTAATAGCTTAGTTGCATTTGTATTTTAAATTTAGTTATACTGATTAATATTTAGGTTATATTGAGCGAATAACATGTGCAATAAAAATCACTTCAACTTTAGGCAAAATGTATAAGGATATCCTAATAATTTTCTTGTTTTTTTTTTATTTTAATTTACTTCGCATTTACATACATTACATACGATAAAGATTACAAAATTATGATGTTTATTTCTTTTAGTATTTTTCATCAACTTGTGTCTCCAGTTATATTTTTAAGAAATATTGAAAAAATAGTTTATTAATCTATATGCAAATAAAAAAAGTCACTTTTTAAGTTTATATAAAACATTACAGGAATATATGCGGCATGAAGAATTTATACTACATTTTTATATTCAAAATCAAATAAATAAATAATAATAAATGATATAAAAATAGTCTAACAATGTTGCATTTAAACTCTAATATTTTTTTCTTAATTATAATATTTTATATGTTTCAAAACAACTATTATTAAAATAGCATTCTCTAATATTTTTAAGATTTAACATTTTCAAGAAAATGAAAAATTTATATCAGTCAAGTATTTTAAAGTTTTAGATGAAATGCTTCATCTCTTTATTTAAAATATTAAATATAAGAAATTGAAAATATATGATACAACATTCATTTTTTTTTAAATACTTTCTTTCAACACTCAAAATGATTTGGCCTCGAGTTGATTTTATCTTGGCTCAAGGAAAACTCGGTCTTTTTTAACTTGATCCTAAGTCAATCCTTATGCACTAGAAAATTCATTCAGTCAAGCATAAATCTTGACATTTTTAGGATCTCAAAACCATCAAACATTCAAACCAATAGCTTATAAGATCAATCCAATGATCATTCAAACTCCATGTTAAGCAAATTTATAATTGGAGCTAAACTTTAATGTAGAAAACCTAAAGATATCGAAAGCTCCTTATCTCAAGTGCAAATAGACCTAAATCAAGAAATATAAAATCTATTTAAGAAATTAAAGTTCAAAGAACTAAATTATCTCTAAATGTTAAATGCTTATACTTGAAGTAAATATCTTGAGGAGATAAATTCGACAAACTTGAGATTGCTTAGTTTTGAAACCAATAAAGCACAATGATGTATAAAAATAGTGTAGATTAAGAAGAATCATGTGTATCAACTAACAGAGTATTCAAAATTCTAGTTCAGATGACCATGATGCCCCCAACTAAAATCTTCGGGCTTATTTTTACACATTAGAGGGTGTTGGTAAAAAGTTCCTTAAGATGCTAAATGAAGATTCTTAGCAGGGAGAATTCAGAACACTATTTGTGGATAAGAACAACTGACAATTATCATCCATAATTGTTAATGCTTGATGTCACCACCATCATTAATGCTTGATATTGGCGCCAAGGCTAATATCAGCATTAATGCATATCCTTGCCTCTACAATTGACTCCCTCCACAGATTCTAGCATTGATTCCATACATCATTGTCAAAACTGAATCTTATCATCAATAGTAAAGTTGATGCTAATTGCCAACATTAAAGACGAGCCCTTCACAATCATTACTAGTATTTCTAACAATGTTAATGTTACCATTGTCTCTAAGAATGATTGTGACATCATCAACAACCCTAACGTTCATAAACTCTGGTAATGCTTTTGATTGATGGCATTATTAAGATTAAGTTTTGTTATTTCCACCAAAATTAATGTTTATTATCACCACCAACATTAAGAAATATCATCTCCATCATGATAATGCTAACAATTGTCTCTGAGGTTGATGGCCTCGTTTTTTATAACATTTAGAATTATAATAAGTATAAGGTTGTTATTTATTATAGACACCAACATAGATTCTCACTATCAACACCAAGCTTGATATGCATCATCAACATTAACCAAATCCTTATCATCTGCTAAACCAAAATCCACTCTACCAAAATAAATGCTGAGGCTTATTATCACTACTAATGTTGAGATTTGTCTTTGTTAATTGTCTTTATGCACATAATTATTAACAACCTTAATGCTCACAAACCTAAAAAGGAAACCTATCATTTCATTTACCCTTTTTAATAGCTTTAATGTGCATTTTTTTAACATCCTTGATGCCCACCACCCTAAATAAGGTTGAACCCTATCAATAAAGCTAAAATAAGTGCTCATCATTGCTAGTAAGGTTGATGCAGACATTATTCTCACTAGTGATGATAATCATTATCGAGAAAAATCCTAATGCTCATCATCACCAAACATTTAATGCCCATCATCTGCAGAAATAGTAATGTTTGTTGTTGCTAATAAAATTTATGTTTGCTATCAGCACTAATGTCAATTCCCATTATGAACACCAAAGTTGGTGCCATCATTATTTATTACCTTGATCACCATTATCACCAATAAAATTGATGTTTGTTAATGACATTAATGCACACCATTCATACTAATGCTTGTTCTTATCACCAATGACCACTCACATTCAACGAAAAGAAAAACAAATGATATCACTATCAATATCAATGACCATCACTTCAATAGTGCGAATACCCACTATTTGCAACAAAGCATTGCTCACTGATGATTTTAATGTTGAAATACATTATTATCAACAAATTTACTGCATTTAATCTACAATTTTATATTTTTTTTATAATAAAACAAAGGTTATCATTTGTTGCTAGGAATAATTTTGATACTTAATAAGGTTGGAGCCTATTTTTGGCACCAAAGCGAAGTTCCATCTTTTCTACCAATGATAATGCCTACTTTTTTTTAATAAATCAAATTCATATCATTGCTAAGAAGTTTGATGCTTACCATCAACTCCAACATTAGTGCCCATCACGGCCAATATCACCATTGTTTTATGTTTCCACCAATGCTAATACTCATTTTCTTAGTAATTAAGCTCATTTTTATAAGAAAATTTACCTGATTATCAATCATCAATTAAGGATAACTCTAATGCTTTAATAATCATTTATAGTTTATATCTTTTCTATTGTATTAATGTCTTCTTTAATAATGAAAAAATACATCAATTATAATATATGAGTTACACTAACAAAATTATTTCAATTGGGTCGATTTTCATTTTTTTTCCTTCTATTTTTTAAATATAAGATTTTGTTTATTTGAGATTGAATTGGGAGAGTTTTTATAGTTGGTAGAAATAAGCATTTTTGTTAATGTCTTTAAGAATAGCATTATCATTTGCAAAAAATGCAGATAAACTCATGCCTTCCCCCATTTATTCACATTGTCCTTTCTAAATCTTTAGCTTTTTTGAAAGTTAGTTCTATCTTCATTATGACTGTAATTACTAATTCTCCTTTTTTATTGTTACTGGCTATGACAATTGATGATCAGCCAAAAAAAATATCATCTATCTTTTGAGCTACTCACAACCTTTCTATCTATATGTGTAGTTCAATGCTAAGATAATAAACTCTCACAATATTGTTATGAATAATAATTAAATTATAATTAAATCATAACTAAACTCCAATTGTTATAAATTTTTTACATGAAGGTTGAGACCCCACTCCAAACATTTTTGGTAAATTTAAATAATTTTTAAGTTAACTTAATATTTAAGTAAATATTTAAATTAAAATAATTATTAATTCATAGATATAAATCTTAAATTTTCATAGATTGATTCTCGAATGTCTCTTCACTTCAAAGAGTGGTCTTATGAAATATGTGTAATGTCTTTTTATATTATTTTTATTTTTTTCTAAATATAATTTTAAACCTTAAATTAAACTTGAGATAATTAAAATACACTAAAAACTAAGCTTAAAAGTGCATACCTTTTTAGATGTCTTAGGAGATTTCACACTAAGCAAACTAAGGTCAACTTAGATAAATACTTGATCTGCATTATCTAAAGATTAAACATCAAGCAAATTAGAACTGTTAACCTTAACCAGATATAAACTCAAATTAATCTTAAAACTTAAAATTAAAGCTATGGTATCCAACCTCAAAATTCATATATAACATCCCTTATGTTTCCTTTACTAAATCATGAGGTGGTTTATGTAGGTTTGTAGGTTAGTCAAACCACATTATAACTTTGAATTATAACCAAAACCAAAATAAATTAATTGAACTACATTAAAATTAAGAAAACCTAAGTTAGATCCAAATTTAAGTTAAATTCAATCAAAACTAATTCAAATTTAACCTTAACTAAAATTCAAATTTAACCTTAAAGTAAATTAAGATTTATAATGACACAATTCTTATGAATCTACTTAACTTAAACCATAGTTGAAATTGAATAAACTTAACACAAAGTGGAGAAAAATTCAACTCAAACATCTAAAACTTAACTAAACCAATCAACTCAATTAACTAAACTTAAGTCAACTTAGTCTTTTAGGGTGGTGGTGTACCACACATCTCTAAGTGGATTGTTCACCTTATTAGGATAGGGAGCTATGAGCAATATTATCCCCTCTCCTTTTTTAACTTAAGTGTAAATTCAAACGTAAATCAAATTAAAAACTTAAAATTCATCAATAAAACATTAATTAATTGAAGTTGAACTATCGTCAGTAAATCTAAATCACAAAAAAACCAAAATCATAACATATAAAGGACTAAATTAGTCTCACTACGCTATAGCCACACACGCCTTGGATAATTTTCTTGTCCACTAACCTAGATTAGGTTAGGTCATTAGCGGTTGATTGTGTGTTCATCTTAATGTGTATTGGTATGCCTCACTATGTTCAATTGTTTTTTGTTTAGATCGACGCTAGGAGTATACATAGACTTTAACATTAGGGTGATTTTTGTAGCCTAAAATGTTTTTTTTATAGAAGATCGTGCTTAGTGGGGAATGTTGAAAGTAAATTAAGATTTATAATGACACAATTCTTATACCCCTAAACGTGTTATACTATGATAGTTGGCTTGCTACCTATCGGTCTAAAGTTCACATGTGTGCTTTATTTACTGATTATATGTGTGTTTTTTTCTACTGACCTCTATTTTGTAGTTTTTTTTTGTTAAGCTTTTCACTTTTATATATATTTAATAGAACTAGGTTAGAGCATATGAGATTAGGATGAGTGAGGATGAACCATCTAGTCATATCTAATGATACCTGAAGGACCCAAACCATGAAGGATGAACCACAAGAAATAATTACAAATAGAAGATGAGAAGAAACTACAGGCCAATTTTTAGTTTTAGAATTTATTAAGCAATATATAAGCTGATCTTGGCTGCCCCTTTTTTCCTTTCTTCTAATGTATATAACACAACTCAACACTGACATTTTTATTATATATATATTTTTTTTATTTCGATGTGCCTACATTATTTTTTTTATATTATTTGTGTATTAGACATTACTTACTTTATCATAGGTTTCTTTCAGTATTGTTTGCCAAGAATAGTTTGATATTTTTATTCATTAGGCTCTTATGTAAATTAAATTTTCTACCTAACCTAACAACCAAAATATTAAATTTTTAAACAACTTAAAAAAATCAAAATCAATATCCATAGGATATTAAACAGTAAAATCAATTTGAAACCATACTTACAATCAAATCATATGCAAATCACTTGGCCCATTCCTTGATTTTAATGCTTCACCTATTGAACATAAACGATTTAACTAGTAAGGATCACTGCCCCTTCTTGCAGATCTCTGATTGGCTTAAATTTCACCTTTTTTGTATGTGCATGAATATCAAACTTAAAAGATTAAGGAATAAAATCTTAAAATATAAAATTGTGTATTAGTTAAATGCATATTTTCTCGTGCTTATTAATATTCTGGGTTGAGTTGTAAACGCTATGCATCTTCTTAGTTGAACAACAACCATACTCATTCACTTGTACATGTGACCATATCTAAGAATTTAAAGTGTAGGTGGATTATTTGACAACACTCTCTAGGTGTGGTCAAAAACCCAAAAAAGTCAAGTCGGATTTCACTCTTTAATGGTGGTGAAGTTTATAAATCCCACTTTTGCTCTCTTAGATTAGATTTAAGTTCGGAGGTATCCTTGTTATCTTTTTGCTATAGAATAAGCCTTCTCTTAAGCATTTCCATGACCATATATCATTAGAATGTATACCACTGATTTCTAATAAAAATGAAAAACTTAAACCAATAATTAATCTCAATTTCTACAATATAATCCCCAACCATAAGATAGTTTGAAACACTACTGAGCTTCTCAATATTTGGTTCTCCCTACCTTTCAATCTCTGACACGCGATAACAAGTATTTTAGTTCGAGCAATCTCATTTGAATCTCCAAACAATAAGCTTGAATCTAAACTTTGTGTAAAGCAAATCAAATGTAATAAAATTGAACAGCCTAAGCACTAATTGTTTGTAGGTATTTGTAGTGTAGAGCAAATCAAATGCAATGCTTTTGAAATTTTTTATGTTTGTCTGGAAGAAAAGTAAATCAAGAGTAATTTTTTGAGATATTTGGAATCCCCGTTTAATTCCCCGCTTAATTCATTTTTAGCATATTTGAAATACATATGGCTTAAGGAAATTCCAAAAACACCACATGCATGAAGTTTTGCTCGTCACTGCCCATTGCCACCAACCATTACTAGTAAGCATCAGTCACAATTGTTTGCCACCTATGTCATATGTCCCCTGCTAGTTGACACCGTCCACCACCATCACTCGTCAACCATTTGTTTGTTGGCGCCTGACGGTCGGCATCCCCAGTGCCTAGCCTTTGCTTGGTTGTCATAATTGACATGTTGTCACTGGATGCCACCACCCTTTGCTGGTTACTACCTACTTTCAACCGTCTTTGCCCACCTACCACTGTCATTTTGCTTGAACCTAAAATTATTGGGTTTGCTTTGCAATCAACAAGACAAAAAAAAATTTCTCATTTTCATTTACAAACTGTCAAAAATAGCAAAATGTTTCAAATATGCAATTATATTTTACATTATATTTTGAATAAATCAAAATTATAAATACTTGTTACCATAAAGAAACATTTGTTATATTTTGATATGCATAAGCCTGTAAAAGCAGCCAACCATAAACATTGAATACTAATAATCACAGCTAATTAGGGATAACTTATAAAACACTCCTAAACACATGCCAATTACTCCATCTGAAGCAGATCCGAGTTAAAACAAAGAACTTTCCCCACCTAAGCTCTTGAACAGAGGTAGGTATTCCTAATATCATTTAACTCGGCTGCAGCATCTCGCAAGCAGATTCTTTCCTGTGGCAATTCCTGTGAGCATCTAAGCCCAACCTTTGCCACAGAGACCAAACGTTCAGAAATTCTTCTTGCTTGTTCCAAATTGCTCATGTTCTCTTCATGAATTTCATGAAAAACCATCTTTTGATCCGAAATTTCCAAAATGTTATCTTCAAAGGAGCTCTCTACAAACTTAGAAAGACTGAATTCCTCTTTAAACATATCATCAATCGGTCTTCTTCCTGTAAGCATTTCTAGAAGAAGAATTCCAAAGCTGTAAACATCCCCCAAGGTAGACGGATGACCACCCGCACCATATTCTGCAACCATAAAGATTTCATTTTTATTAGCTGAACATTTCAATGACATTTCAGAGCAAGGAAAGCGAGGAATTTGATGTCCGTTAGTAATAAAAACGCAAGAGATTGCTTACCTGGAGCAACATAGCCAATTGTTCCATTTATTCCACTCAGGCAGGTTGAATCCTGAAGAGCCCGGTTTTCAGCTTCACAAAACATCTTTGCGAGCCCAAAATCAGCTACACGAGCACTCATGTTTTCATCAAGCAGAATGTTACCAGGTTTTATATCACAGTGAATTACTGGTGGGTGAGAGTTATGATGAAGATACTCCAATGCCTCGGCTATATCAATGGCTATATTCAATCTTTGTAGAAGGCTCAAGCTGCATTTTTTGTCGCTTTCATCTTCTTCAGGATGCAGCCATGCGTCCAAACTCCCCATAGGCATGAATTCAAGCACCAGAGCTTTGAAATCGTCGCCGCTAGAATCGATGCTTGCGCAGGATGTGAGAACCTTGATAACTCTGCGATGGCGAATGCTTCTCAGAGCTGTGCATTCAGTCATGAAGCTCTTGTAAGCACCCTGTATTTCTAAGTTGAAAACTTTGACAGCCACAGCTGTTCTTTCGCTGCCTAGATGTCCTCTGTATACTGATCCATATCTTCCTCTGCCAATGAGGTTGGTAGAAGAGAAACCACCAGTAGCTTTGGCTAAATCAGCTTGAGAAATTCTAGGAAATGAATCACCGAAGAAAGAATGATGGGAAGAAGAATTCAAAGATGATTTCTTTCTCAGCTTTCGTTTCTGGCAAAGGAAAGCAAAGCATGTCAAGGGGGCCAGAAGAATCAGCAGGCAAGCAACGATGATCAAAATTTTCATAAGAAGAGATTTATTTTTAGTACTCGGAGGTGCATTTAACACACATTTCTGAAGATGAAGTTCTTGAATTCCTCCACAAATGTCAGCATTGCCTGCCAGAGAGATTGCTGTAGCATTCTGAAAGATCCCATTTTCAGGAACTTGGCCTTCAAAGTGGTTATAAGACAGGTTCAAGTAACTCAGAGCCTTTAGATTTTGAAAAAAATAAGGAATGGAGCCAGAAAAATTGTTTTCCGAAAGGTCTAAAATTTGCAGTTCCTGCAAGTTGCTTAAAGTAGGAGGAACGGTGCCATTGAAGTTGTTGTTCTGCATGTTAATAACAGACAACCTGAAACAGGATCCAAGTGTTTTAGGTATTTGCCCCACTAAATTGTTATAAGAAAAGTCAATAATTTGAAGATTCACCAAGCTCCCAATTTCTGGTGGCAGAAAACCCTCCAAAGAGTTCTGAGAAAAGCCGAGGTACCGCGACAGGGATGAGAGGCTAACAACTTCTTTTGGCAGAGAGCCGTTAAGATTATTGTTACTGAGGCTTAAAAAATTCAGTCTTTTAAGATTCCCTAGGCTCACTGGTATGGAACCAGTTAACTGATTATCACCAAGATCCAACTCAGTAAGTCCTGTAAGGTTGCCCAAAGAGGAGGGAATAGGTCCTGAAAGATTATTTCTGCCAAAAGACAAGGTTTCTAACATGGAAAGCTTCCCAATTTTCTGAGGTATGGTACCTTGGAGTAAATTCGTCTCCATGCCCAACATATTTAAATTGACAAGGTTCTCTATTTCGAAAGGTATGGTTCCTGAGATTTGATTTGATCCGAACGACAGAAACTGAAGTTGGGTGGAAAGATTACCTATGGCTTTTGGCAGTGTACCCCCAAGCCTATTGGAATCAATACTGAGCACCTCTAGATTGGTGCAGTTAGCCAAAGAATCAATAAATCTCCAATCTTCTGCATCATCTGCTTGAAGCTCGTTGGTTCCCAGACCAAGTAAAGTGAGGGACTGCATCCTACCAAATAATGGCATCTTTCCTGTGAATCTGTTAATACCCAAATCAATTTCAGAAAGACTTGTCACATTTGACAGAGCTACAAGGGATCCATTGAGGTTGTTTCCGCCTAAGTAGAGGAGATGGAGATTTGGAAGATGATCAAAAGTATTGATTGAGAACCCACCAGTTAAGTTATTAGCAGTCAACGAAATGGCGACCAGGGATGACAGGTTGTATATTGAATTTGGAATGGTTCCTGTAAGAAAATTAGAATGCGCAAGAAGCCCAACTAGTCTGGTCAGTCTACCAATCTCTGTTGGGATGCTTCCATGCAGATTGTTTTGTCCCAGCCGAAGTGTTGTCAATGAAGAAAGATTTCCAAGCGAAGGTGGAAGGCCACCATTGATGCTGTTGTTTGATAGATCAAGATATATAAGCTCTGAAAGAGAGCTGATTTCTTGGGGAATTGTCCAGTTGAGCCAGTTGCCACTCAGGTCAAGTACTTCAAGTTTTAAGCAACGAGTCAAGTTGATAGGAATTGCGCCATTGAATGAGTTGAAACTCAGGTTGAGATACTTGAGCTGTTGTAGATTGCCCAAGCCCGGTGGTATATTGCCATTGATCCAGTTGAGGCTGAGATCAAGCCATCTGAGGAAGGTGAGGTTGCTAATGGCCGGAGGAAGTTGGCCATTCAAGCCCTGGGAGCTGAGTTGCAATGCTTTCACTCTGTTACCACTGCATGAAACTCCCTTCCACAAACAGAACTCAATGGAGTCATTCCATGAGTGGAGAATGCTCGAGCTATTCTGCATAAGTTGGTTCTTCAAAGCTGTAAGCACGTAGTAATCGCTGCCATTCCCAAACGAAGGCGACGCTTCGGAATAGATTGTGGAAGAGAAGAAGAAGATGAGGAGAAGAAAATATGCAGAGTGGGATTCCATGGACTCATGAATATCTCAAAATCTTATCTTTTGCAGCTCTGCATCATCTCTTCATTGTCTGGTGTTTAAATCATACAAATTCAGAATAATGAAGTAACATATAAAATAAGAGAATTTTACAAAACTATCAATCTCTAGCACCTTGATATTTTTGCTTCTGCTTTTGTCTTTATGACAACAAAACAAAAGAATGCTTAAAGTAGAAGTTTGACGCAGCCATGCAAGGGTTAACTGGTTCCAGTTGGGAGCTAGCTTTGACGCACTGCATGGTTATGGAAGGAATTCTTATGTCTTTTTTTTTTTTTTAAATAAATTAAAGTGGGCTGAGTCTAGCTTTTATAGTTGTATTTATATGAGCCAATTCTTCCCCATTATTATAGAAAAAGTCATGCCAGTGACAGCTTGTCTTTATCTAACAATAGAAAGAGTTTGGTTGTTGGATTCAAACCTATTTGTTACACTATCTAAGAAGAGAAATATGGGAAGATTTTTATTACTTCACTAGGATATTATTGAATTTTTAGTCCTGATATGCCTCTATTAGCTCATATTTGTAGGGTTCTTTTTGAAAAAAAATATTACATTCGGAGTCCGGACGTAAGTTGCTTCCGAACAACGACTGCGATCCACCGGAAGGGGCGGAGGAGAATAAAATACTTTCGGTGGATCGCAGTTATTATTGAGACGCAGCTTGTATCTGGACTCCGTACGTAATATTTTTTTTTCTTTTTGGGGCTACAATAGATGTTACATCTGAATTCAATAGATAAATACAAGATATATGGATTACATATAAGCGATTATAGAATACACATGGTATTCTACTTTGGATGAGTGCCTTGAATGTCCTATCCATAGGCTAGAAGTTGCCAATGAAGAATAGTTGGGGTTTTCTTAGCCCCAAGCTAGTAGTACATTTGGTGTGGGCGAACGCTATCTGAGCCCGAGTCCTTTGAACCGGGCAAGCATTCTTTTGAGCTGGGTCCTTCGAACTTGACGAGGACTTTTGGGGGCTCCCCTTAACCTTGTTCTTGGTGACTTCACTTAGTCGCTTTAGTTTTACCCTATATCGAAAGATAAACGTATTATTTTATAATGAATTCAATCACTAAATAAAAATTTTAATTTTTTGGATCTCTATTATCTAACCATGTATTTTTTATAGTTTATTTTAATATGGGTTACATGTTCATTACAAGGGCAAGTCGTGATCTGTCTCTTTAAATTTCAAAGTTTAGATTTTCAAGATTGCTTTAGTGGAGTTTAAATTGAAAACTGTTGAACTATAATTGAAGAAGGAAAAAGTAAGCAGTGCATGGATACTAAGGAGCTCAATAGCATCAACGTTTAGCTTTACATCTTTTAATCTAAGAGATTTAATTTTATTTGAATTGTTCATTTTATTATAATTTTTTTACTTGTATTTCAATAACATATATCATGTGAAAATCTAAGATGTGAGTAAGTGTTCACATAAAAATGCACCAGCACGAATCTCAAGCCAGATGGGCTGCTCAGGAAGGATGTAAAGACGATCACTCGAAGGGCTACCAATGATCGTTTCCAGATGAGTATTGGTAAAGGAACACCTTATCCGACCGATCGACAGAGGACACCAAGAGAAAGTCTCGTAGGCGATAATCAACCCTCAGGATGATTGATGTGGAACACTCTTTTGGAATATATATTGGCCGAACCAAGAATTGTCAGACGTCGACAACCCTTATCGATCGAATTGACCATAGTTTTATTGTATGCAAATAACTCTGTAATTTCCCAAAAACCCTCCTGAAAAGTTAATAATGAGGGCTAATATGTATTTTTGTAATATTGGGACCTAGGCCTATAAATAGAGGTCCATATCAAGAGTAAAGAACACCTTTTTCTTGTCTAATACTGCTCTCTCTCTCTCTCTCTCTTAACCACTTTCTAATCGAACGGTCCATTCCTTAGATGGGCAATAAGCATGGTGCCTTCAACTAAGATTTTTTTTTCTCAACAATCAGGTGAACCCTCAGAGAGATGCACATTATGTTATCTCAAAGCTTAGGAGCTTTGAGCACGTTTCTTCATGTTCTTCTTAGTTACGATGAAATACAATCCTATCTTGAGTAAGAAATTTTATTTAATAGTAGTTGTTCAACTCAATAAATCAAATATAATACTCACTCGATCAAGCATGTTATTTGGAGGTTTGTTAAATCTAAATGATCCCGATAATATAAATAAGAAGTCTTCCCATTATGGTTTAAAGAGCACAAAAGTTAGTGCATTCATTGTTAGATATATTGAATCAAATAAATTTAAAAAACATGATTAGTTATGTACTTCATAGGTTCATGAATAAAATAATAAAGTTACATGTCTAAGATTGATATATCTTGTTTGGGGTCCTATACATGTCATGAAAATATGACCATTTTTTATGCGAATGGCTACAAATTCCATATAAGATCCAAGTCTCGAGGAAAGAAATACGATCACCTCTAGTGTTTATGTTGAAAAAACACCAATTAAGAGGAAGAAATAGACTATTACGAAATTCTCCAAGTAGTCTAATTCCAATAACTTGACTCTATTGAGACAAGCATTCTTGTTCAACTACGATTGGCTTGATCATATTTCTAATTATGAAATAAAGGTAATAAAGCTATATAATTTCATGAAAGTTAAAATGAACATAAGATATGTTAAATTTGATCTTCAATCTAATAAGACAAACAACTCAGGTTTATTATCTTAAATACCATGATATTGCAATAAAGAAAGTAGATTGGGCAATAGTCATCAAGATTAATCCCTGAGTGACTATTGAGATTAAAAATAGTATTGAACTCACTCATCAAGAAGGGGAAATACTAGATTTTTACATTTATGTTGATTTTATCGAGTAAGACATAATTTTAGAGGATGTTATTGTCAACATGAAGAAATTATTATACTAAGTATGACTTTTTTTATGGTTTTGACGAAGAGATTTTATATTTATTCTCTAGTCACTCATCCGATGATTTAAAATGAGATGTTTATGTAATGTTTATTTATTTTACTTATTTTATTTCTTAATTTAATGTTCAGGGTTTTTTCTAAATTTATTCTTTTATTTAGTATTTTTACTTTTGTTTATTTTATTTACTATTTTGCTTAGATTTATTACTTTTATATCTGATTTTAGTAATGCTATTTTGAACACTGCACTTTATATTTTTATTACTTTTGTTTATTATTTTTAATTCCTCTATTCTATTTTTTTCTTACATGCACCGATCAGATTTAGATTTTTTTTTTTTTTTTTACACATGACTTCAGATGGTAGTGATAATCCTCCTCCTCACAACGATTTAGATTTTTTTTTTCTTTTTTTACACAGAAGACTTCAGATGGTAGTGATAATCCTCCTCCTCACAAGGATGTGATCAACATGATTAGAAGGTATAAAAGGGGAACTACACAACACAAAGTCATATGAATAACCACTACTTTATCTATGACTACCAAGAATACCACTCATGTTGTACATTTAACATAAAGCCCGATGGAAATATGTAAGTAATTTACATTACAAGAAAATACTATTTATTTTATTTTCAATTGTACAAATATTATTTTTTTAAGATTATGTCCATCTATTCAAGTCATTCACATTATTAAGGACATCATATGGAGAAGTAAGATGCTCCGTACTTATCATGGAAGGAGATCCAAATTTAAGTACAAGATATATGATTTAGAGAGTTTGAGGCAAACTCTAAATGAAAATCTTAAGTTGCATAATTTTATCCATCTAATTGATTTTACTCCTGTTGCTGGAGTTCTCTTGCAGACCTGAGTATTGCACACATATTAAGAGGAGCTTTGTGGCTACAGGGTTAGCTCGTTCGTGTAATATGTTTGCTGAAGATAGGTCAACAACCTCTGTGACTTGGGGAGGATGCCTTGATTGAGCTTGGCAAAGCTTGGAACTCTCTTGACCATGTCAAAAAGAGTCGGCAAGTGCAGTAGAATTGGAATTTAGATTATGGGGACATGGGCTCCTCCCATTACATTGTAGAGGCACTTCGACAGCCATAGTATAGGATGAGAATGTTAAGAAATATTTTATACATTAAATTGTAGTTGATACTTAGTGTTTAATAACTTTTATCATATATTGATAGACACCACAGCTTGTGCAGGAGCCCACATCCACTGAACAAATGGGCTAACGGTTGGCTGACCTCAGATCACAGAAAGCACATATAAGTAGTATAATAATTTTTATATTATTACAACTATTCTAAAATTTAATTTTGCCTTGTAGGCAACGGCTGAAAAAGGCTTAGGCTTTGATCAGTTAGGCTTTGACCTCTAGACGACCTCTAGAAAGATGTTGTTGGGGGCATGAAGAAAGGAATGATAGATGACTTGGTTTCACAGTGACTCACATAAGATGCACACCACTCGTTCCTAAGTCAAAGCTTCACATCCTTTGACGTTGGAGTTGGCAGGAAGGTTATAACAATTATTGAGGATACAGATGCCTGATTTGCTTCTCAACTCACTGAGATGGAGGTGAGAATGAAGAGGAACCTCGAGGAGGTGCGACGTGACGCATGCCAGCTACTGAAGTCACTGAAGATGGTTGAAGAGAGGAGGAATGAGGAGAGTGATGATGAGTAGCAATGTTGATAGCTACATTTCAATTGTGAGACAATTATGTATTGGATACTTCATTTACTCTTGTTTAATAGATTGTGATTGCACTTACTTTTTAATTGAAGGACATTTATATGATTCTTGTTTAGTTGAAAATCAAATAAGTTTACGGCCGGATGCGTGTAAATTATAATGAGCTAGCGAAGTTATTATTTTTTTATGCTTCTAGTTAATTTTTCTAACGACAATTCGACTAACACGAGCGTCAGTTATGTTAATACTAACAGGCATGTCCGTCTGTTTCTCGATTCATTAGGAACCGACGGGTTATGACCGTTATAGTTTAACCGACGTTTACGAACGATGGGTGAATCTTCAGAGATTTTCAAGACGTAGGAAAGTCATTATAAAGAATTTTTG